TATATATATATATTATCACGTCGGGAGAAGAATTTCCAAGATCCAAATGCGTTTTTACCAATGCACTGCTGCTTCCATTGTGTGACTGACACGGCCAACGTTAACATGACGTTTACGTCACTCTTACTGTCGCGTTCTGTTTGGGTTTCCGGCAATGAGTGGAATTACTGAAATAAAAAAATAAATAAATGGGATGTAGCACAAAATGTGAAAACAGAAAAATACCGCCTTGTAATCCACTTATTTCAGCAAAGTAACTGTAATCCAATTACCACTCATTGAAACAGTAACTGTAACGGAATACAGTTACTCATAATTTGTACTCTGATTACGTAACGGCGGTACATGTAATCCGTTACTCCCCAACACTGCATATGGTACATTTAAACGATAAAATGGTCCTTTTGACTTTATATTATTATACTTAATACTTTTGACCTTATATTTATTTTTAATTTATTATTTTAGTTGTTTTATCGATTTATTGCTATTCTATGATTTTATTGTATTTTATTTTATTGGTTTTATTATTTTAAGACTAGTATGAGTAAATCTCAGCATTTATTTTATCATTTTATTATTGTTATTATTATGTACGTGTGCCGCACTTTGGAAACTGTTTGTTTGTGAAATGTGCTATATAAATAAAGTGGATTGTATTGTATTGGATTATATAACTTATAACTTCAAGTTGGTACAGTCCAGGTCTTGTTTATCAAATATCTTGGACCAATTCCAATATGCATACATACAATTTTTGAATAATTTTTGTTCAATTAAAGTGACTCTCCTTTATGTGTACCTTTAACCACCCCATGCTCTACACTATAGTGAACACTGCTCTACATACAGTACTAGTACATACACATAGTCAATATTACTGTGAGTGTCCTACTAACCTCCCTGGCTGACCTTATCAGCGCGCTCCCATCACTTCCTGATTTGGTGGGAGTCGTTGTATAAGCTGCACTGGTTTAGAACAAAGCTATAGAGGTGTTTTTTTTTCCTCAGAGGGGGAGAGAGGAGAGAGAGGAGAGGTGACCTGGCCTTCATCAGCCATCGCCACCCGCTCGGAAGTGATTCAAAGCAGTGGCGTGTGCACAGGAGGTCAGCCGGCCCCTTTCATGTGGGCCCGTTGCATAATGCTATCAGGGAGCCTCAGTATTTACATTACAGAGAGAGGACAGAGCTAAGGCCAGTGCAGGCAGTGTGGTGTGGATAGAGTAATGTTGCGTAACCATTGAACAATTTTGGTGTTGTTTTTTATGGTTTGAATGTGTTTGTTTATAGTTACAGTTGAAGTTGCATATTTCCACATGTCACGTTAAAGGGCCCATATTACACTATTTTCTGGTCTGTGTTATAATGTTGTTTCCTCATCACAAACCTACCTGTAGTTATGTTTTGTTTCATTCACACACAAATCCTGCATATTTACAGGTTTAGGCTATGTTTATATGATGACGGTCTGAACAGAAGACTCAAAAGTGGCGCTGCATTCTTCACTTTTTATTCCGCGTTTAGACGAGTGTTTTCAGGAGGAAATCTGTGTGCATACGGTGATGCAAAAGTGTGTGGAATTCGATTGCGTATGCATGCTGTCTGGCATGTTTTTTTCTGTGTACTGTGTGTATGTGACATAAACGTGAGTAGATCTGACCAGAGTTTTGCGTCTTGGGCAGTGTAGACAGAAACGTTACAGCGGAGCGTATTCAACTTTTCCACTCTGGAGGGTGGTTTCAGATTTTTGCGTTTTTAAGCCCCAAAAATGCCGTCACTGTCTAAACGAAAGGCACTTCTGATCAAATATTTTGTTGTTTTTACCTGCAAGCGTTCTCGTTTAAACAGGCCTTTAAATAGAGTTTTTCTCTCAAACTGAAAACACTCTGTGCCACCTTGTGATGTCATGTGCTACAACAGGAAGTGCCCCACTGTGTTTTTAAACTCCACACACTTTCAGTAGAAGCATTTTGATGATTTCAGCCCTAGAACTGCCAGTATTTACTGAACAAAAGGTAAAAGGTAGCTGTTAACTTGAAAACTACAGCTTCATGGCATCACAAGGTGGATCAGAGCATTATGAGCTATGGGGATGTAGCCTGTACTATAATAAAGAGTTACTCAAACATGTGTAAATGTATGGATGTATGTTTTTGAGGAGGTAACAACATTATAAAATGGCTTAAAGGTCACAAGAGTCGGTTTTGCGTAATATAGCACACTGTGTAACTTTTCTGTTATAAGCAAGCACTTCTTTGCTGATGCTACTACTTAGCTAAGAATATCACTATTCAATTACAGGTATTTTTATTGCTAAAAAAAAAAAATAAACAATCATTCTGACTGTGAGATGGGTCGTCTCTCCACAGATCTGACATGTAACTTGGCCTTGTAGCAACACTTGCTTGTCTGCATAGAGATAGATAAGTTTTATGACATACTGTAGAATATTCTAGGCCAAACCATAATGTCTCCCTGGAGAAGATCAGGCGGTAGACTCTCCACCAGAAAAGTTACTTAGTGTATCTTTAATTTTAAAATAGATCCCAGTACAGTATAGATTATCAAACTTATAAACACATTATTGAATCTATATTTAGACAATCTCATAGTTGAAAATGTGCATATTTTGTACAACATACATATCGGGTTGCCATTTTGATGTCATTAATTTAAAATGGATTTCTTTTTTATCAACAGCATATCTCAGTTTGAACATCCCCATATTTCATATGTTTATTTGCTTAAAGGGACCTGTCCTTCTCTACACAGTGCGAGCACAGTGCGATGATTGTATTGTTACGCAACAATAGTTACGTTGCATAATCAGTGCTTTGCTTAAAAAGACATGTGGGGACTGAAGTGGGCGGCTGTCATTTGTTGGAGATGCTTCAAATGCCTGGAGAGTGCAGAGGAAGTGCAAAAGTTGAGTGCTGACATGCTGTAGTTTATGGTGGAATATGTCTTCTAGTTACCCAAAAGATTCTGTTTTATTTGGACAAGCAGCTAATCCTTCATCAGCTGTAAATGGAAGTAAGTAGGATTCAAACCACGCAAAGCAGGCCGATACTCAAAACCATGATCCAAACCATGATCCTGGCTCACATTTGGGTGCTGCCCTGCATGCAAAAGAAAGAGGCCAATGGGCCAAAGTAAAGAACTTAATTCCCCTATGAGGTCAATAATTTAGATTTAGGAATTATTTGTTAATAAAGGGCTGATATTTCACTATTTTATTATCTATGTTATAAGGCTGTTTTCTCATCACAATCATACAGGGAGTTGTGTTTTGTTTCATTTACACGTTTAACACACAAACCTTGCATATTTAGGCTGAGTTCTTCAGGAAGTAGCGACAGTAGCTCAGTTGGTAAGAGCATTTGTCAACTGATCAGAAGGTTTTGTGGCCAGATCCACTCACCCTCAGGTTGGCAGGGCAATGCCAGCTCCCACGGATGAATGCTGTTGCTGTGTCCTTAGGCAAGACACTTAACCCACCTTGCCCCCAATGTCTGCTTACACTGATGTATGAGTGTAAGTGTGTGAATGGGTGAGTGGTTCCTTGATGTAAAGTGCTTTGAGTGCCTTGAAGATGGAAAAGGTTTATATAAAAATGTGACCATTTACCAAGTGATTCACTGTGTTTTAAAACTCCATACACCTTCACTAGAATAATTTGGATCATTTTAGCCCTGTATTTGCCCATTTCTATTGAACAAAAGGTAAAAGGTAGCTGTTAGCTTGAAAACGATTGCTTCATGACATCACAGGGCATTTTGAGCTTTGGAGATGCAGACTAATGCAGGACTACCTCAAAAACATACCTGAAACAAAACACAATTCCAGATATGTTTTTGAGGAGGTATTATAACATGGCTCAAAGCTCACAAGAGTCAATTTTGTGCATTATGTAACTTTGTTGGAGTAGTGCCCACAACCTGTTTGTCATTGCTTTGCCTAGAAGGTTCCTCAGCATTACACTTCTCTATCTTGCATTTATTTAATTTCAGGTTTGTCTATTGGCTTCTTCTGTATGGAGATAGATACGCTTGATGCCATAAACTTGAACATTTCAGGAAAAGCAATGACATCTCCATGGAGAAAAGCAGGTGCCTGACCTTCCTCCCGAAAAGTTACATATTGTGCCTTTAATTGTGTCTTAAATTGTGGCCATACCGACTTGTCAAAGCCTGATCCCGTCAGATCTCAGAAGCTAAGCAAAGCCGGGCCTGGTTAGTACTTGGATGGGAGACCACTGGGATAATCAGGTGCCACAGGGGGGCGCCAGTCTTAAAAACTGTTGTTGTGTCCTTAGGCAAGGTACTTCACCCTCATTGCCTAGTATGAAAGTGGTGTGTGTGTGTGAGTGATGGTGGTGATCGGAGGGGCCAATTGCGCAGATTGGCAGCCTCGCTTCCATCAGTCTGCCCCAGGGCAGCTGTGGCTACAGTAGTAGTTTACCACCACCGGGTGTGGAGTAAATGACTAATTCTCTGCAAAGCATCTTTGAGTGTCCAAAAAAGCGCTATATAAAACTGATGCATAATTATTATTATTATTAATAATATGTTGTAAATGGACATTATTTTGCAGTGTACTAGATCACATGATGGGCATTGTCACAACTCTTTTTTTGCGTAAACAGTTGCCATAATAGTGATAGTAATAATGGTATCAATAGTAGTTGCACTGGCTTGAACTTGAATTATAGTAGTACCAGTATTTAGGCAAATATTCTGTTGTGGACACATTATAAACTATACATGTATGATAATATCTGGGTCAGAATTTCCTTTTGTTTTGTTATTTTCATGCAACAATGCAGTAGTGCAAGTACACATCGTCAGTATTTCATAGTTTGGTTTGCTCATCAACATCAAATTCACATAATAAGCAACCCCTTTCTCAACTCTGTCATACTTGGTTTTAGCACTAGCTGACCACACAAGCCCATGTATCCAGTGGCTGACAGCTAACGGCGTGTCTGTGTCCTGTCCCAGATAACAGCAGTATGCAGAGAGGCGGCGTTGCTGGCCCTACAGGAGGACATCAAAGCCCAGACCGTCCAGGCCAGGCATTTGGAGCAGGCCCTGATCACCGTGCAGCCCCGTGTCCCCGACTCCCTCATTCAAACGTACATCAGATATCAGCAGAGGCACAGCGGAGGTCTGGCCCTCTTCTGACCACACCATCACAACACACAGTGGTCATGTAAGGAAGACAGAGGACCTCTGAGCTGTCTCTTACTACTGTGTGTATGGTGAGTGAATAGGGTTTATTTTGAGTAAACACGACTCAGATGGTAATAATATTTTAGTATGTATAATATTATACATATTTGAGGTTAGAAATCACCATTATTATGAATTCACTGCATCCTTGAAGTTAACCATGTTTGGCCTGTAGATGCTGCGAACAGGAAACAATACAGCTAGGATAATAAAAATGTACATTTGGTTTTAGAACAATGCAGTTTCACCACTGTTGTACAAAAACAGATTCTCTTATCTTAGTACAAAAAAGCTTCCATGAGGTATAAACCACATACAAATTCACTGGGAAAAAACTATGAAAAACTGTTTTGTAAGACATGTTTCTGTATTAAATATACTTTCTACACGCTAGATGTGCCTTGTTGTCTTATTTCAAGTATACTAACATTTATCCTAGAACTATTATGAATTATCTACACCAGTGCATTTAGCTAATTATTACTAATTAATTGTGTTTATAAATAGATTGGCGTGGAAAATTAATCAGCACAACTTTATACTGATATCTCACCTGCTTCTCTTTGCATTTTAGTACAAGCAGGTTTATGTATAATTGACCACTTTGTCCTATTCAACAAGTGTCCGGTCTGTTGCATGCACTGGGCTGCAGTTAACGTTGCGCCATATGGAGACCAGGCAGGGTCTGTGTGTGCCGTTTATGAAGGGCGCACACCAGCAGGCTGTTCCCTCTCTCACGTGCACCCATGGAAAATGAGTTAATTACAGTCGTGGTGAGATTTCCGCGCGCGCACTTCCGACCACAGCGCGAGGATCCCGGTGGCCATCTGTCGCTACGGGACACTCTACAGCCCCGTGTTTGGCTGGAGCACGTTTAGATTCGTGCGCCACAACGCTTTTCCTTTCGCACCCTATTAACTACACTTAGGCCTCCGTTGTGCGCCTCTTTTCTCAGGCATGTGTGACCCGGAATGGCACCGGGGGTCACGCATCCATTGATTTTTCCATTTGAATGGGATAAATTGACTTTGTATTGAACTTCCTTTTCTCATGGATCCGGATGTAGCGCATCCGCGACACCAATCAAACCAGACAGTCAGGAACAGAGGGGAGGAGGGGTGCTCTGGGGGGAGGGGGTCTGTCCCCTGGCTGCGGGTTGCTCTGCTGTTAAGGTAGTCCGGATTACACCAGAGCCTCTGTCCCTAACCCTACACAAGTGTCCACAGTGTCTGCTCAACTTTACAGCAAGTACACTGTAGAAGTAGCTGTTTCAGTGCATCACAATTTAAAGCTTATAAGGCATGGACACGTGACAAAATGCGTCCCGTTTACACCTACATTAGTACTGATCATCTGTTAGCTCTATAGTTATTACAGCTTATTACACAGCAACACAGTGTGAACCATAACACTGTATTAAAAGTTATATCATTTGCAAATGTGATTTACAGCCTAATCAATAATGACAATACCTGTTATCTTTGACGTTTTAATGTAGGACAATTATAATAGAGTGCATATTTAGTAGGCCTTACTTTAATGGTTTACTGTTAGTTTTATGACTTGTCAGACATAAACAGACTTATGATAAGAATACTTAAGCAAATTGCACGAATAAGACCTTTTTCATTAAAATAAGCATAATAACCATAGTTTTGTGATACTTGTTACTGATAGACAACTGTTACTATGTAGGTACATATCATTTAGGTCTATTATATGAAACGTTGCACTTATGATTACATTTCGAAGGAAACAGATTAAAAAACGTGTACGTAAAACCAAGCAATCCATGTATCTGGTATAAAACAGACTTAGGCGTATCTTGGCAGAGTACGTGCTGTCCTTGTGTTACGGACAGGTCTATTCCTGAAAGTGGGCACTCATAGAATAAACACAGACTTGTATTGCGTCACGAAGCTCTTTACACTTCACATTCATGAGGCACAGAGCGGAAGCCCCTCGTGCGCAGCGTGTGGGGCGTCAAGTCTCCGGTCCACCTTAACTGCTGCACACTTCCCTCTCGGCCGGCCTTCCACATCTGCCCAATGAATCAGGAGCGGATGCGATGTATCCTTTTTCAGTGCGGTGAATGGCCAATGGGAGTTGGCTTGTGGAGCAAACACTGAGCTGTGCGCTTCCATTCATTCAGTGCTGAAGTGGCTCGCAGAGAAGGACAGAGCGCACGAGAACGAGACGAGAGAAGAGCTGCGACGCATCCGGCCACAGTATAGCGCACACGGGACGCGCGAGTCTTGGATATATCTGCTGTTTCTCTGCAACGTGGAAACGGACTGTACGTGATTTGTGAACGTCGCCTTCGATAGTTTTTACTTGGATATACAATCCGCGCTGTCCCGGGACACATGCGCGCGTGAACTTCTCCACAAGTGTCCCAGCAAAAAGGAATACAGGAATACAGTCGCACTGGATTAACAGACTGTGAATGTTATGTTTTAAGATGACCAGTCGCTGCGCTTCTATGGAGTTTCGTGGGCTGTGTATTTGATGGATTCCACTATATGGATGATTGCATATAGGTACGTATCCACCGCACTGTTTACCCTGGCTGCACTCGCTTTATAGCCTACTGCGGACATAGTGCAATTGTACGACGCTCAGTCAGAGCATTAGAAATGTGTTCTTTATCGTTCATCAAGTTTATAGGATTAGATTTGATTAATGGTAAGACGTAATTTCGTTGGTGCTGGGATCCCTCGATAGTTGGATGTGAAATAACACGACTTTCATGCGGGCGTCCTTTCGTGGCTCTTTAGTAACAAACACCCCTCCCCCACGCCTCTTGTTTTCATTCATAAGTTTTTTGCCGTCTGTTTGGATGCCTCCTCTTATGTCCGCAGATCAAGCACTCCATGTCTTTCTGGTGCAAAAACTTTTGTAAAGCGGGCGTGTAAAGCGGAGATCGTCTCTCATGCGTAATACGCGTTGTGATTTTGATAGAGTAAAATACTATACTACACTTCATATCTCAAGTGCTCTGTAAGCATGCTTGTGATGTGATATTACACTTTATCTACGATTATAAAAGCAGGTTAAATGTAACAGTTTTGCATCCGGTTTGTTGTTTCATGACACCAAATCCAGAGATCCACTCGTTCGTAAACGTTTTTCATGCGCACAGGGGGTATCTTCCTATGGCGTTAAATAAGGCATAGCTTGACTATGTTTAAACGGCGGGTTTGTTTTTCTGCTTGAGCTTGAATCTCGTCGGAACTCGCTCTGACCTTAGTTCTTCTGCTCCACTTTTGTCCCGTTTCCCTGAAAGCCTTTTGGGGCAGTAATAGAATACTAAGTGAGGCAGCTCATTTAGTTCCTTTGGATCGTGTCCTCATTTCGTCGCCGCGGTGCATTTAAATGTTAACTAGTCATACAAATGGAAATGAGCAGGGGAAGTATTTGTAGGGCCTTGTGAAGTTTAGATGTGTGCGTATTGGGAGGAAGGTACAAGAAGTCTTGTTAATCGTCAACGTTTTTTTCCGGAGTACGCTCACTTAGAGGGATCAAAAGTGACATGTTGTCACGCTGAGGACGTGAGGCAAGAGCCAGGCTAAACGTATACTCTGGATGTAAAGCGAGTGCAGCAGTCCCTGTATGTATGTAGATATTAGACAAGAAATCCTTGCCTGATTCTAGTTAAACCTCTCTATAGCAGCAGGTTAGTTCTGTATCAGATGTGCCATGTTTAGTCTCTCTCTGACCATGTCCCTTTGCCTTTGTCCCGGCTCCTTGCCCCCCTCTGCAGGTTTTCCGATGCATGCCAAGTCCACGGTGAATGTCGGAAGTGGTGATACCCCCAGATGGAGCTCCAAAGTCAACATGGCCCGGGTGGTTCATTAGTGGTGATCCAGCAGCCTTCTCTCGAGGGCCGCCAGAGGTCGGATTACGAGCGGGAGTTCCAGCATGCTGCCATTCTGTCTCTGGACCAAATCAAGGCCATCCGCTCCAGCAACGAGTATACAGAAGGGCCCTCGGTGGTCCGGAGACCCCCTGCTCCCCGCACGGTCCCCCGGCCCAAGCAGGACAAGGAGGAGAGAACTCATGAGGTCATCCCCGTCAACAACAACTATGAGCACCGGCACCCTGTAGGGGGCATGGTGCTGGTGCCAGGGCCCCGGGCCCCTGGCCTCAGCCGCTCCACCAGCACAGGGAGCGCTGCCAGCTCAGGGAGCACCGGCAGCGCATCCTCGGAGCAGGGACTTCTGGCCTGTTCTCCCCCCAGTCGGCCCCCCAAGAGCTTACCGCACAGAGTGGAGAGGCCTGTCCGGACTCAGCCCAAATCCAAGGCCCCATCACAAGGACCCAAATTCCACCTGCCTCCTCCTGAGGTCCCACTGAAGCCTCCAACCAAGGGCAAGTCAGACTTGTTTGTTCCTGTGGCAGCCGGACACCAGTTTATCTGTGAGCGTTGTGGGAAGTGTAAGTGCAGTGAGTGCACGACTCCACGGACTCTGCCCTCATGTTTGGCCTGTAATGGACAGTGTCTGTGCTCTGCCGAGAGTGCTTTGGAGCATGGCACTTGCATGTGTCTAGTCAAGGGCCTGTTCTACCACTGCTCCAACGATGATGAGGGGGACTCTTGTGCGGACCACCCCTGCTCTCTGTCCCACTCCCACTGCTGCTCGCGCTTCCTGTGCATGGGATTAATGTCGGTACTCTTTCCCTGTTTGCTATGCTATCCTCCGGTAAAGGGCTGTCTGAAGGCCTGCCAGAGCTGCTACGACCGGGTGCAGCGGCCTGGCTGTCGCTGCAAGAACTCTAACACTGTCTACTGCAAACTGGACAGCTGGCCACACAGCCAGGGCAAGCCCTCCTGATGGCTCTGTGACATGGATATACTGACAATAATAATGATAGTCACAAATTAATGTTTATCAAACATTTAAGCACCTCCCACCGGCCTTCCCTCTGCACTGTGGAACCTAAGGAGCTATAGCAAAGGAGTAACGAAAACCACTCATTTTTTTATTTTATTTCTGGATCAGGACCATGTTTTTACAGACCAGTGTTTGCCTTAACTCTTTCTATGTCTGTCATCAGTTCCTCATTAACACTATTTTTATATATCAAGCGTATTTCTTCCGTTTTAGGTAGGCAGTCTCCTCTGGGCCCTGGTGACCAGCTGGGGCTGCCTCTCACCAAATCTGTGAAGGACGATCTATTATAGGGCAATTATGTAGCTGTTACCTGTTATTCATAGCGCGCAGGTATGTTGAATTAATGGTTGCTGCCACGTGTATACTGTGGTTCCATGTTTCATTTATGAAAGCACATCCATCTCATAGTATTTCACCTACACCTGGATATGTTTCTCTACTTCCTCCCATCCAGACTTCACCCTGTGGCATTTTCCCATGGTTTTGTTTTTCCGTTTGTGTTCAACTGTATGCTCAAAATCCATAAGAGGAATTCTGGCTATTTTTTAAAAAAGAGAAAAAATGTCTGTTAAAACATTTTTTTGTTGTTGTAAAAAATATTTATTATGTGAAGCTCTATTATTTTATGATATTTATTGCAAGAGACAGTCTTAAATTTACTCATGTCTGAATATAACAATATCAAATACTTACTGAAAAATTAAAGGGTGGCACAAAAGAAAACTATGTTAACTTTAATGCAGAAAATATATTAATTAATGAAAACATAGCCTTGTCTTTGTCGTGATTTGGGTCTATTTCGATCATTTTGTAACATGTATTTGCATGAATGGGTGTTTGCTGGTCTCAATTTCAAGCCATGAGTAGAAACAGCTTGCAGCACTGAAACGCAACTGTTTACATTCTTTGAGGGCTTCTTCGCTGTCGTTCTCCTCGCTAACCTTGAAAGCTAAACAATACAGGTCATTGCCACGATTAGCCCCAAAGCTGCTAGCATCAACAAGAGCCTCCACATTTCCATGCTCACAGGAAGTAACTCTAGTCCCCCCCTTATCCGCCCCCCTCCCCACTTTAGCTGACTGCCAACGAGTCACCGCGAAACTATGCACTGTAGTTTATTCTCTGGGCTTTAAACGCAGCTAGATCGGGATGTTCCCAAACTCCCAAATGGTCTCCACATTGCGCAGTGTGTAGTGTATGTGAGCGCCTTGAGAAAAGTAGAGGGCGGCCATTATGAGTTAAGCTAGGGCCACCTGTTCAAAGATAATAAACTAGAGGGGCTATCAATGCTGGGGCTTTATTTTTTTTTTTTTACGGCACAGTTCCTGCTCTAAAGCCAACAGCCCCCCTGGACTTGCTGTGACCCACAATCCTCCATTTGGTCCTCTGTTTTGTCACTGAATTTATCACGTGGGACGTCCGCTGACCCCAAACGCGTCGCCCCCTCCTCTTTCTCCCTCTACCAGCGCTAGAGGGCCCCCGGGGTGTATAACGTCATCACTTCGCGAGTCGGTTGGTCAGGCGTGCAAATGCCAACAGTTGGGGGAAACACAAACTGGGACCAGGAAATACGCTGGGGGGACAAAAGGAAAGGAACATAGCACGGCTTAAGGGCCTTGGAAAAGCTGCAGCGTTAGCATGAAAACAAAACAACCGTGTGGCTTTAATCAGCGACATGTGACTGCGCCGCGAGCCTCAGGTGATGCTAGCAACGGCCCTTTGATTTCACAGCATTGGCAAAACAAGAACTTAGAATCCTGTTAGTTAGAGCGGCCTCACTGTTAAAAAAAGAATCTGTAAAATTTGGTTTAGCCTAAATATTTGAAGGGAATTGTGTGGAACTTTCCGAGAACCATTGTTATTAATGACACAGATGTCCTTAAAGTAAACTGCAGTTGCTCACGCTCCTATTTTTTATTAGCAGATGTCTTTGAGGTATTCTGGGAGGCTGTGGTTCAGGCTAATGCTAGGGTCTGAGTTGATGCTAGCTTGTGCACTCTAAACTGATGCAGAAAGGTGGTTTGGAAGGGTGTGTTCTTAGAAAGTTATACCAACTTTATTTTCTTGCATTTAAAACCACTGATTGTTTCTTCTATGACTTGTTTGTTACTCTACATACATTTAAAATTATTATTTGGGGTCAAGACACAATTCCAAGACGCTCAGCTGGGTCTTCGAGATCAAGAAAAGATGAGATTTTGACATCATTTATATGGCCTCACAAATTCCTATGTTTATGCTGTCAAAGTAGCTCTGCTTTTGTGAACTATGGCTTCTCAAGTTGTGTAACTTACTAACACTTTTTGTGTTTGTGCCAAATGTAAACACAAAAAATCTCACATCTGTGCATGATCTTGAGGCAATTTTAGCTTGCAAGATCTTGTCCCATTTCTCTAGATATGTTTTGGTAGGCTGACTAGTTTCTGTGCAGACATAGTTCAAGGCGCACTATGTAACAGTTCTGGTACAAGTCCAGCACCTGGCTGTGTCCATGGAGATATGCTCGAGAGATTGCTTTCCCTGGAATGTACCACAGTATGGTATTAAACCATACTACCCTCCACCTGGAAAGTTGCACAGTGCAAACTGTATTTTGCCTGTTGTACTGGACCATCTGACCAGAGAAGACATGTGTTTGGTGTTAGCATTGCAAATAACATTTAACATTTGTTTAAAAAAAAGAAAATGAGCTATTGTTAAACTTGGCTTCTTTGTAGCCATAATTGCTTACGTGGATAGTTATGTGAGTGATAATCACTGATTGACTCATCATTATTTGGACTATACAAGTTACCTTAAAACCTTGCAGTGGAAATTTGCACTAATAATGAACTATAATGGTCCATGTAAGGCATATTAGATTGTACTCATCAAGTTGAGATCACAGACTGTATAAAGAAGTTGACTAAGGAAGTGTGACGTCACCCATAGCGTTCAGCTCCAGTCAAGTGAACCTGTTATAGGAGCGAATTTGGAGCCGAGTTCCACCTTAGGAATAGGAATTTATAAACAGAAAAACCACCAGGATGTAGAGTGGGCTAATATGAACATTTTAAGACCAAAATGACAAGACTCACTACAGCAGTCACAGAGAGAGGGGTGACAATTATTCAATACAAAGTAAAATGGAGCCAGAGTCGATGAAGCCGGAAGCACCCCGATGCTCACTTCTTACTGGGAACGCAGTGGCTAGATATCTCCATTTATATGTACAGTGTATAGTTCAGATCCATGCCAGTCCAGATTCAAATTTGATATTGTTCAGTGTCGATTTCCTCCAACTATAACAATTAATAGCAAACAAAAGTACTGATTGGATTAAAGTAAGACAAATACATTATATAAAAACTGTTGCTATGCGTTCAACAACATAACACAAGACGCCACTGTGACCGCTGCATGCTACCTTATTCCAGATTGTCAGCAGTTTGCACGTAATGAAGCGTCTCTTCAAATGGACCCGTACTTGTACTTTACTGTGCTTTCCTTTCTCTCTATTTTGGTGGAATGTACCTTTTGTTGGCCTCTATAGCGTTGAGTGGATTAACGATTTGTCAATTTCCTGCAACCTTTTTCAGAGCTGCAATCCGAGCCCAGTTTGCTGCTAGCTCCTGGATGATAGCAGACAAAAGGAGACCTCTTTTTCGACAGGTTTTGCTATGGTTTCCCTGTACAGTGGGCAGGACGTGTAAGGTAGAGATCAAAATACATTATAATGACATGAAGTTGGTGTCTACTTAATATCTAGAAAAGGAATCCTATGATCTGCAGAAAAAAATAACTCCAACGGTGGAACAAGATGAAGCAGAAGTAGTAAAGTATTGTACATTTTAGGTATCTGTACTTTCCTTAAGTATATTTTATGGTGGATACCTTTACTTCACTTCATTTGAGAGCAGCTATCTGTACTTTCTACTTCACTACATTTTTGAGCAAGACTAAAAAGTTGAAGTATTTTTTATTATTGTTTGAGACCTGCTGAAAAGGCAAATATACAATGAAATACAGCTAAACAAAAAAAAATATGAATTTAGTTGTTTCTGTTTAACAAAATTCAGCACAAATCTGTATCAAAGTCAGTACATTTGAAACCATGTAAGACCTCAAAATACTCACAAAAACTTTAACTTTTTATATTTTTAAACAGGTACTTTAATTATTTTATTTAAGTAGATTTTTTCATGTGATACTTTTTCTCTTATTTTCCCCCATGTCTGCACTTTTACCACTGGTCAACTCTGTAATATGCCCTTAAACTGACTTTCCATCCATTGCTGCAGCTTTACTCACCGTGGGACCACCAGTGAAACCTGAGTCACTATTAAGTAATAGCTGGGTATAATACTCACCTCCACATTGCACTTGTTTAAATGCAGCCTCTCTACACACCCACGTAACACTGTTTGGAGTTGTCAAACCTGGATGGTCTCTCATACATAGATGGATTTTAGGCATGAAGTTAAAGTGTACATTTACTGTGAGTTCATAAAGGTCACATGTACAAGACTGGTTTAGGTCAGTCTTCAGTGGCTTTGTCCACATGCACACAAAAATCTGATTATTGTCTGTTTATAGTCTGACTTTTGGACAGTGAAGGTTAGTTAAAGATGCACTGCTTAACATTTCTAGTGGAGGGTCTGCCCCCTACTCCATGGAAATGTTACTGCTTTGTCTAGACTGTTCCACCGTATAGATTAAACCTGTCTATCACATGCTGATCACAGCACTACACTACATCACAGTTCAGATCTGTGGAGAGACGTCCCTATTCACAGAAGGAATGACTATATATTTGAGCATATGGATATGTTTAATGTCACACCACGAAACATTCAAGGTAAAGCAATAACATCTCCATGGAGACAAGCAAAAAAGTTGCACAGCGTACCTTTAAATGACACGTAAAGCCCAAAATCTGATGTGAGTGTTCAGAGAGACCATGATCAGAAACAAGTAGTTAATTTTTCACATAATTTTAATAAGCTTCTAACTGAAAATATCCAATAATAATCTGATTTAGAGTGCATATGTAACTATAGCCACTGATGATAAAATGATGGCACAGTTTAGTCCTATTACTTTGTTCCGACCACAGAATAATTATTTCCTGAAACCATACATGTTAATACGTGTTTCACTACTATACAGAGCTGACACCCTTATTCACTTTTCTGGGACCAGGAAGGCATGATGACTGAGCTCAGACTTCCATCTCTCTTCATTCCAGCTTCTTAGGAAAATGTTAAATGCATTTAACAAACTGCGGTATGTATATGCACATCAGCACTTATAATAATAATAATACATAACACTTGTATAACGTTTTTCATGGCATTCTGAGATGCTTCCTAGAAAGACAAAGACAGACAAAACATAAAACACAAATGAAGCACTTATTTAGATTTGTGTTAGCTTTACTTGTCATGGTTTGGTCTTGTATTAGATCTTATTTAGTCCTAGTTTAGACGTGACTTAGTCCTGATTTTGACCTGGTAAAACTCCAAAAGCCCAGAATACATTAGTTGCTGTGGAAAGGTTGAAAACATCTGCTCTACTTAGACTTTGACAAACATAATTGATTGACAAGAGCTAATGGATAGTAGTTATCACCTCTACTAAGGTAAAAATCCATCTATTAGTCTATATATTCGCAGTTGAAGTTGCAGTTGAAGCTGCAGTTGAAGCTGCATCTCCATTCTCCAGAATTAGATGCCAGTTGCTCTCAAAGGTCTATCTAAATTTCTATCTTAATATATGTACATTTTAA